GTACATGTGCTTTCTTGAGCAGGGGGACCTTGTAGGGCTGCAGGATTTCAGTCCTTCATGGCATGATGTGTTACCAATCGCTTTTTGGTGACTATGGTCCCAGCTGCCTTGAGAAGCGCTGCTGTGATCATAACTCTTTACCCCCAATAACTACTCGACACATAGTTCTGGCCTTTTATGCATCCCAAGAATATTGCTGAACTGAAACAGTTCTGTAAAGAGGAATGGTCAAGAATTACTCCTGACCGTTGTGCACGTCTGATCTGCAACTACAGGAAACGTTTGGTTGAAGTTATTGCTGCCAAAGGAGGTTCAACCAGTTATTAAATCCAAGGGTTCACATACTTTTCCACCTGCACTGTGAATGTTTACATGGTGTGTTCAATAAAAACATGGCAACATTTCATTCTTTGTGTGTTATTAATTTAAGCAGACTGTGATTGTCTATTGTTGTGACTCAGATCACATTTTATGACCAATTTGTGCAGAAATCCATATCATTCCAAAGGGTTCACATACTTTTTCTTGCAACTGTATTAGGCAAAATACTGGCAAAGGCACCAGGTCTGTAAAAATTACTGGCAGCTCAGCCTGACATGAATGCATGAAGCCACAAGGCTAACCCACTGCGGGCAGACTCTGAAGTGCTCCCTGCAGGGTCATAGTGCACTGAACATAGTTAAAGTATGTCTAATGATGGCATACAAAAGTGGGACACCAGGGAAGTTGGGACAGGACTCGGTACTGTCTTGCCAAAATTGGGACATTTGGGAGATCTTGTTTATGTTGCTGAATTTGCAGGGAAATGTTACAGACACCAGATCCACTACATTAAGCTGTAATGGTTCTTGTGACTATAGTGTCCCTGTAAATCTATTTAAAGCTAATAGAAAAGAATGAATAGAGTATACCTGGCTGCTAGCAATACAGGCACCGTGTGTGAAAACTGTTCTGGGCAGAAGTACATAACACAGAAAATAACGCAGAGAAAAATGTCTCAGTCTCTTTAACAAAGAATGAGAAAAACAAGGCAAGGCTGATGTCAGAGTAGCTTGGCTCACCAAGTTATATGCAGCAGATGGCTGCAATTGCATAAATGACAGAGGCTACAGCAGTGTGTCTCTGTTTAAGTTCAAAGTGTGCAGAAACCAACCCCCCTGCTTTGTATTTACACAGAGTTTCTCTCAACTTGCTTTTTGTTTATTTATTTATTTTTAAAAAACTAAGAATACAGCCTACACCATTGGCCAAACCTAGTGCCCAAAGAAATCAGGTCACTCCATCCTTCACACCCTTTCGTGTGATGCAATTGCATCATCCAAATGGGTGAATGATGCATGGAAGCATATCGTTCAGTCGTTCATTTGGTAGTTCAGCCATTCAGAGATTTGAAATTCGGACAAATGTATGAATAAGTCATTTTTCGTCTAAATACCGATCCTTCCGAAAATGAATGCCCAAGTCTAAGTGCAATGGTTAAAGCATTATATTGTGTAGTTAGATCCTGTGCAATGGAAGACAAGTGGCAAAACATTTGACCATTTGACCGCACATGCTTGTTTTGGGATTCCTATATCACTAGAGAAAGACATCCCTACTGAGCCCACATGTAATCATATTCTGGGTGCTGCTATGAAAGTGATGCTTTTTTTTAGAGACATAAAGACTTATTTATTAACAACCAAGACAAAAGAAAAAAAAGAGAAAAACTTGGTGGAATGTGGATCTGGCACAATAAACAATAAACATCTGAGGGTGTATTGTTAAATTGGCTTAAATCTATTCTATGGGGGGATTATTGTTTAAGAAAGGGTGGCAGATGCTTTATGACACAGCAGATGGTTTTACAACACCATTAAGATTCTCTGTTATAATACTGTTGACCTTGGTATTCATGAGGAGACATCTGTTGTTTAAGAGGACACAGGTTCTATATATAAATGATAGGACAGTGCACAACACTGGATCAACTCCAAGGCAGGTTTAATGTAGCACACTAAAAGTGTCATGTTTGTGCCATTACTTCCTAACACTGCATTTAATATGCTTACTGGAAGGTGGCTGTCAAACTGTCAGATAATTATTCTTGAAAAAGCCTGCACAGTGTCAGGATACTAGTTGATCCAGCACACAGAATTGTATCAGTCAGGATTACAGTATGATCCAGCAAGTAGAATTGTGTAACACAGAGGACTGATAGGTAACCTTTACCGGACCTTAGAATGGCCGGACTAACGTACCAAAGAATAGTTGGGAATAGCCGAGGTCAAGGGATACAGAAAGAGACACAACGATAAGGAAAAGCAAGGGGTCAGGGATGCCAGAAAACAGGGAAGTCAAAATCAATGCCAAAGTCAAATAACCAGAAATACCAGAATCAATAACGCGCTCTCAGACAACCACAAGGGAAACCACGACAATCTAGACAATTTCAGGAACACAATCTGCCGCTTCCACCACCTTCTACAAAACCCTGCCTCCCCTTCACTAAACACCTGCTTGACCCTTAATCAATCCTCTGCCACCTTAATCAATCCCCTGCACCCCTTTGTCAGACCTTGACACCCTTCATCAATCCCTTGCCTTCTTCATCAATCCCCTGCACCCCTCTGTCAGACCTTGACACCCTTCACCAATCCCCTGCCCTCTTCATCAATCCCCTGCCCCCCTTCATCAATGCCCTGCCCTCCTTCACCAGTCCCCTGCCCCTTCACCAGTCCCCTTCCCCCCTTTATCAGACCCTGCCACCTTAATCAATGCCCTGCCCCTTTCATCAGTCCCCTGCCCCCCTTCATCAATCCCGTGCCCCCCTTCATCAGACCCTGCCACCTTAATAAATCCCCTGCCCCCTTCCATCAGACCCTGTCACCTTAATCAATCCCCTTCATCAATTCCCTGCCACCCTTCACTAGACCCTGCCACCTTACTCAATCCCCTGCCCCCCTTCATCAGACCCTGCCACCTTAATCAATCCTCTGCCTCATTCACCAATCCCCTGCCCCTCTACCATCAGTTCCTGTCCCCATCATCAATCTCCTGCCCCCTTTATCAGACCCTGTCACCTTAATCAATCTCCTACCCCCTTCACCAACACCCCTGCACCCCTTCAATAAAAGGCAATATATTTAGTTAAAAAAAGAAAAAGAAATAAGAACTAGGACTCACTTTAATGGCTGCTGCTCCCTGAATTCAGCTTCCGACTCTGCCGCGTCGCCGATTTAAGAACACCGGCCACCGACCTCACACGCACCAAGCGGATCCTGACGCGGCTCCCTGTGAAGGCGGAGAATGTGGACGTTGCGCCCCCACGCTCCTCCTCCTCCACGCTCCAGACCTCTTTATTCTGCAACAGATCCTGGCCGCGGCTCACCTCTCCCCTCAAAATTTGCAAGTCAAGTGCATAGCAGCACTATGCACTTGACTTGCTCTGGCATTTGTAAACCCAGCACTTAACTTGGGCTGGCCTCTTTGTGATCGACTGTGAGCTGTGTCGCCCGCCCAAGCGCCCCTGTTGCCCTGGGCTCTGTGCAGCCGCACAGCTTGCACACCCCAAAGGTCGGCCCTGACCAGGTCTATAAGTAATAAGAAAATTAAAGTGAGAAAGAAACAGAGACCACCTAGCTTGTCTAGAAGACAATCGTTTAGCGTCTCCTATGTAAGCCAGGTTTTTGTGATTAGTAATGATCAAAAGGGGGTCCTTGGAACCGTCTAAAAGATGTCGCAACTCCTTGAGAGCTAGAATAATGGCCAACAATTCCCTATTGCCAATATCATAATTGCGCTCGGCAGGAGACAACTTTCTAGAGATGTACCAAAAGGATGCAATGGAGTATCCTGGCTCTCCCTCTGGGAGAGAACTGCCCCTACCCCTGTCTCTGATGCATCAACTTCCAGTATGAAAGGTTTACTGGTGTCAGGATGTATCAATATGTCGGCGGATGCAATCCGCTGTTTGAGATTTTCAAAGGCTTCTATAGCCTCCTTAGACCATATCATACTGCTAAGTTCCTTGTGTGTCATATTGGTGATGGGAGCTATTACTGAAGAAAATACCTTTGTAAACCTTCTGTAATAATTGGCAAAACCAATGAACCTTTGAATGGCTTTCAACCCAGTGGGTAAAGGCCACTGTAGAACCGATTCCAACTTTTTAGGATTTGGTCAAAGATGCATTTTTCTAATTTACAATAAAGTTGATTTTATTAAAGGACACAGAGGCTCATATTAGGCTTATCTCTTTCTTTTATTTCCTCAGCAGCAAAGAAAGCTAAGGTGTTTATTTGTAGAGAAAAAAAAAAAAAAGAAACATGCATAACTACCCTCACAGGGTTAACCTTACATCACCATCTTTCAACCAATAGGAACAGTCCTTCTCTCATATCCTTTCATGTATCCTCCTCCTCTTCCTCTTTCTTTGCTGCTGCCTCAGCTAAGTATCACTGTTTTTCTCTGGCTCCATTTTGTGTATGTTCCGTGTATGTTTTCTGTATTCACTTGTTGTACTTTTACTGGTATTTTTTCCACAGCATTTGCTGCTTGATAGCCCCTGAGGGATTCCCCTCTGTGTGTAGCCTTTTTTCCCGCGTTCTCTGCAGGTTCCCCCCCCCGCTACCCTCCCCCTGCAGGTTTCCGGCTCCGTGCAAACCGCCGGGTAGTCTATTACCCTCTCCTCCCGGTCGCACAGTGTGGGGAACCCACTGGGAAGAGCCCGGTTTCTTCTCAGGGGTTTCCCCAGCCACAACACCGCGCGAGTGAACGGCCACGCATGCGCGGTCGCTGCCTCTCACGGACATCTTAAAGGGGCGGTAGCAAACGTTTTGCCGCTCCTTTTTCCCCTGCTCAGCTCACAGCCCACTAGTAGGGCGTGAGCTGATTGGACAAGTAGGTTGCCTGTCAGCCTGCCAGTGTCCCCAGAGGCCATTCCTGAGGGAACACTCGGTAAGCTGACAGTACAAGCTGCTGGTTTGTTACTGTGGTTTTTTTTGTTGCCTTGTCTTTAGCCCCTTACTCAGCCTGCACACTTCAGTGTCACATTAGCTATCGTTGCCCTAGTTCTAGTGTTGCCTCATTCACTTATTTGGCCCAAGATGCAGACCCCTACTGAGTACTCTGCCCCCGGCCCTAGTGGTAAGGGGGACGCCAGCAGGTCCTTGGTGTCTGCAACCCCCACCCTGCAAGGGGACGTGGTGACCCCCCTGGAGCATTTGGACTCAGAGGAGTTCCACTCGCTCCTGGACGCCACCATGTCCAAATCAGTTACCCAGGCTATCTATACCGCAATGGGGGTTATGTCTGACAACATATCCCACTCTATTTCAACTGCTATTAAGGCAGCCAACCCTAAGGGACCCCTTGGCAGGGTTACAGAAGAGGGCCCTGTACACAAAGAGGGCCATAAGGCTGTGAGGAAAACTCACTACATGGGAAAGCATACCTCCAAAACTGAAATGACGGACAGGGTACGTCCTGTCACACCTGAGGTCGTGGGGCCCCCACGAAAACGAGCCACCCGTCGGGCAAAAGCGGCGAGGACATGGAAGTGGGCAAAAGCCCTAACTGATGCTTCCGACTCTGGTTCGGATACGGATGAGGTTTTGAGCGAGTCCGACGACGTTGACTCCAATGACTGGGAGGTTTCCTCCCCTGACCATAGCCCATCACGCAACCCGCCTAACCCTTTGCATGATACTGCGGATGATTCCTCCATACTGGCCCCTCAGGGTGAACCTTTGTTCGACCCTGATACACTGCAGAACCCTAGGTCGGCGGAGTGGTACCCGACCGACCATGTGGCACGGTACATAGCGGCCAGAATCCGTAAACCCCTAGATAAAACCGCCAGACAAAAACTGCGGGCGGAGTGCCCACGCCGACAGTCCCGACATGGCCTGCGTCACGCCAGACATAGACCCCAAAATAGCGCAGTTCCTGGGGAAATCGGGCTGGAAAGCCAAAAAGGGTCTTGATTACTCCCTGCTGCAGTGCCAGGATAAGGTGCTGGATACACTAGGTCCTAGTGCCAAGATATTTGAACTGGTCGAGGAGGCATTAAATGAAGGGACACCTCTTGACATATTAGCCATTAGGGGCTGGGCCCAGAGATCCATATGCCTCATCGGTAAAGCAAATGCTGCGCTAGCCACTGAGAGGCGCAAGACTATTCTAATGAAAATCAAGCCCAAACTCGTTAACATGGCCCTCTCCGAACCGGGACCGCAAGCCAAGGGCCTCCTGTTTGGAGACAGTTTTGTTAAGGAATTAGGCACTTACGTGAGTACATTTATGGCCCTAGACAAGGCACAGACGAACTGTGTTCTCCCCCAGAGTTTTTGGTGGGGCCGGCAGACACCGGGGCCGTCTGCCCGGCCACTCCTCACGCGGTTCATACCGGGGATACAGAGGTCCCGCCACAGCTCAGAGCCAGGCCATGGCAGCCGCGAGGACCCAGGGGCAACTCTTACGGCCGACGTCCTTATGGTGAGTGTGCTAACTTTCCCCTCCCCGGGTATGCCGACTGTGGGGGGCAGACTGTTCCACTTTCTGGGGAGCTGGCAGCACCTGACAACGGACGCATGGGTCCTCAATACTGTCACGGGGTATCACATAGAGTTTGTACAACCCCCTGTCCAGGCATGCAGGCCACATCCAATAGCATTTTCAAAATGAGACAAGGGTTTAGTGGACAAGGAGATTGCCGCCCTACAAGAAAAAGGCGCCATATATCAGGTCCCGTCACCCTCCCCCGGGTTCACGAGCAACCTGTTTCTGGTACCCAAGAAGGGCGGCGGAGTACGCCCGGTCATCAACTTACGACCACTAAACGCATTTGTACGGTACCACCACTTCAAAATGGAGGGTATCCATTGCCTACGAGACCTGCTCAGACTAGGGGACTGGATGGTCAAATTGGACCTACAGGATGCCTACCTCACTATCCCGATGGTGGAGGAGTGCCACCGGCTGCTCCAATTCCAATGGGAAAGAGTGACGTGGAGATTCCGATGTCTCCCCTTTGGACTTTCATCGGCCCCTTGGTGCTTCACAAAATTACTGAAGCCGGTGGTCGCCCTGCTCCGCAGCAGAGGCATACGGATGATCATCTATCTGATATGCTGATCATGGCACAAGAGATCTCCCAACTACGGGAACACCTAACATGGGCACTGAAGTTGCTAAAACTTGGGATTTCTCATCAATTGGGAGAAATCGGTACTGACACCGTCCCAAACCATAGAATTCTTGGGTTTCCGTATTAACTCAATCACCGGGACACTGAGTCTACCAACGGACAAAGTCAAACGTATAAAAAAGGAGATCCGCAGGACGCTCACAAGACCAGTGTTGACACTACGACAGTTGGCCAGGATTATCGGACTCCTATCGGCCTCCATTCAGGCAATTTTCCCGGGTCCACTCCATTACAGGGCCCTACAACGACTAAAGGCCACACAGCTGTGCTCAGGGCACTCGTACTCAGACTCGGTGCCACTCGATTACGCAGCCAAGCAAGAACTCACATGGTGGCTGCGTCATATGGAGGCATGGAACGGCAGAGCAATCTTTGGGACGGCCCCGGATTTCACTTTTACTATTACATAATGCCACAGTCTGAGATTTACTAGGTAAAAGCAAGTCCTTTATGTCTCTTATATATTCTTTAGATGTATTGATACTAGCCTGCAGTCACAGATATTGACCTATGAAGCATTATATATTAAAGTCTAAACCTGTGTACTGCAGTATCTACTTTTAGAGACATTAGGAAGGGAGTTTTGTGCCATTAGGCAGTTATTTCGTCTTTCACCTGACCCATTTTTCTATTATTGTATTTTCTCATTGTATATATCTCTATATCTCACTTGGTATATAACCATTATTGTTCATTATTCCAGTGGATACTCATGTACTAGTTATTTTGAGTATCTTATAGTTGTTCTGGCAATACTGCCTGGATCGCAATATTTCAATACAAGCGGAATACATCCCGGGTTTGTCCAACGTCGTAGCGGATTGGCATTCAAGACATCTGCACGACGCCAGCAACTGGCGGCGGAACCGCAATGTGTTCCTACGACTTCAGACACTCTGGGGCCCAATGCGGATCGACTTGTTCGCATCTCGGTTGAACTTCCAATTACCAACATTCTTCAGCTGGAGACCAGATCCGGACGCACTGGTGGCGGATGCTTTTCTCCAGCACTGGCCGGACGGCCGTTGTACACCTTTCCACCGTTCTCCCTCATAGCTCGAACGCTGGTGCATCTCAGACGAACTCAGGCATCACTGGTCCTCGTAACCCCGTTTTGGACAGCCCAACCGTGGTTTCCAACACTCATGGAGATGTCAGTGGACCTCCTGCGATTACTCCCGGATGACTTATTCCTTTTATTGGACCCGGAGGGCAATCCACACCCCCTATTGGCTCAGGGGCAGCTCAAGCTCGTAGCGTGGCTCCTTTCAGGGGACCCTGGGTTGTGCCAGATGTTCCACGAGAAACTATCGAGTTACTGGCAGGAGCTTGGGCGCCTGGAACTAGACGGTCCTACTTCCATGTCTGGAATGGATGGAGTCATTGGTGCCTGGAACAACGAGTGGATCCCGTATGTGCTCTTATAGCTCCTTTGTTACGTTTCCTTACCAACCTGTACACCCAAGGTTTAGCATACTGTTACAGTCGTGACTTAAATATGAATATTAATTTAATAATTAATATATAATAATTAAGCAACAAATAACAACATTAATAGAGTTCGGTATTATGGTCGAATATATAATAGGAAATACACAAAACATTGTAGTATTAAATGTATATTTAATATAATTATAATAACAATTAAACAAATGCTAGCAGAATGTCAATTTACCACAATAATTACACAATACAAAACTACAACATTACTTACAAAAGGCTATAACAGTTGCTAGCTGTAGCGGAGAGGCAGTATGATCCACGATATCTCCGCTGGGTAACAGGAACAACAAAGGATAATCCAGGGAATCAGCATATAGTAATCCAAACAGCACTGCAATAACCCTTCCTTCCCAAGAACTAGACGACACATAGGCTGGGAGTCAACTGAGGTTTTAATCACAGGTCACAGTATTTATGCAATTCCCCATGCAAGGGGTTTCCAAACAGACCTTACAGGGGTTGTACAGGAGGGGACTACATGGGGGACTTACTGTACTACATATTTCTCCCATCAGGCACCGCTGCACGAGAGGGATCATCCTCCCAGAATGCACCGTTAAGGGGATTATCCCCTCGTGCAGCAGAACCGGCAATTCACATAAAAATCTACAACTGGTATAATATACGGTGGATTTACACGAATGGACGTTCGGTAGATAGCTGGGGTCTGGGTGCATCATTCGTGAGATTGCCGCTCAGATCCCAGCTAAAATAACCGAACGCCGCACAGAAAACACCTTTCTTTCAAAACACATGAAAAGAACCGATTGTCTTTAATGAACCTGGTCCTGAAACTCCCGAACGTCCTGGAGGCTTAACGGTGTTCGTGCCGTCGAATAACTGTTGGGAATGCTATGCGTTCGACGACACGGACCCGCTGACGAACCAGGGATCCAAGATGGCCGCCCGCCGCATGGTCGGTAGTCGAACGACGGCCACCCAGGAGAGCCTCTAATAACCGATTGCAACAATGTTGCAATCGGTTAACTAGCGCCACACGCCTCTAAGTGTGTGGGCTATTAGGGGGTATCGCATTCGTTTCACGAACGGCCCTCCAAAGTGCCGTTCGCGAAACGAACGGGAATCCCCATACAAACCGCCATTTGCATTCGGCGGAACAGATAGTACAGGCAATGCAGGGAATACATAACACAGGCACATACAGGTACAATGCATCTCTCTCCAGACCTATAGGCAACCCTTAAAGGCATAGTGTCCAGTTATAGTCCGAGTGGCTAGGTTTGCCACAATGCTCCCCCAGAACCAAGCCGGCATACACAGTCTGATCCCAACGGATCGGCTTGGGGATGTCCGGAGGAGTACTCACGAATCACGGCTCCAAGTCTGTTTGTCTAGACAACCCGTCGGCGTTGCCATTCTGCTTCCCAGGGCGGTAGTGGATAGTAAAGTCAAAAGGCTGCAGCGCCAAACTCCAGCGCAGCAGCCTGGCATTGTCTCCGGACACCCTGTTCAGCCACACCAACGGGTTGTGATCCGTGAGTAAAGTGAAGGGTTGCCCGTATAAGTAGGGTTGCAACTTCTTGAGGGCCCACACCACAGCCAGGCACTCCTTTTCAATGGCGGCGTAGCTTACTTCCCTGGGTAAAAGTTTTCGGCTTAGGTAAGCTACGGGGTGCTCGCCGCCATCGGGTCCAACTTGGCTCAGTACTGCTCCCAATCCAAACATAGAAGCGTCTGTGTGGACGAGAAAGCGTTTAGTTGGATCAGGAGCAGAAAGTACAGGAGAATTAACCAGCGCCGTCTTGAGCTGTTGGAACGCCTGCTCACACTCTGGGGCCCAGACTACTAACTTAGGGAGGTTCTTGCGGGTCA